TGCATTCTCTTCAAAACATTCCCAAGCCTGTTTTCTCATCTTCATTATTTCTTCCTCAGGTCCCTTTTTATTTATTGATTGATGAATTTTGATTCCTTCATTAAGAGGCGTAGGCTCTTTTATCTTAACTTCACAAAAATTAAATTTCAATTTAGACATTGTCTGGTTGATGAAATCCATGTCTACTCCATCGTCACCATAAAATTTAGAACCATCAAAATCTATTTCGTTATTATTGCATATTTTGGGCAAGTCACCAGGTTTAACATATTTTTCAGCCAAGTTTTCTAGAAGCACATATAATTCACCCACACCCAGTCGGTGTTTAGGATTATCATGCCAAGCTTTGAAAATAAAGAAATAATAATGAATATACGGAAAGTAACTTAACAGGTACAAGTTAAAGTCATAAACATACTTGATTTCATAATATATTCAAATTTTTGTTGAATTTCTTTTATTTCCGGATCATGTGTAGGTGCAAATTTGATTTTTTCTCTAAAACCGTTTGTAACAAGTTCTTTAATTTCTTCAAAGCTATCAATACCCTCATATGGATCCTTTTCATACGTGAGTTCCCAAAGCAACATTCCAAAGCTTATTAACATAAAATGTAAAAATAAAATTATTTATACAATATAGGTATAATGAATATATTTACAATTTTTAATAAATTACCTGAAAATTTCACATCGTGTAGTATAAGGTTCACCTCTTATTTTTTCAGGAGCCATCCAACGTACAACTTTTTTAAGATCAGGAATTTGACTAGTTGTTTCGCTTTGTTTACGAGCTACATCAAAATTTGCAATTTTAGGTTTATAACCCGTAGTCATCTAAATTTTTTCATAAGATTGATTGAATTCACATTAATTGAATTAAATATACTTATATGATAAAAAACTTTTAAAATGTACAATTCCTACCATAATATTTTCACCACGAATATCGTGATGAAAAATCTCTACGGATTCAAGAAAGGCAAGGCCACGACATATATCGCGGGCTATAGATACTTTTGTTACCCAATCAATATCACATTCATTATAAACATCTTTTAAAGAACCTAATTCTGCCCATTGTAAAACTTGAACTTCTTTTCCTTCAATACGGGACAAACCATAAAACTTGAGGATATATATACATTCACTTAATCTTTCCAAGATTGCTAATTGTTTTTGAATTTTTTGTTTCTTCGCTTGATCATTTGACTCTTTAATATTAAATTCTTTACAAGCAACTTCCTCAAATTTATACATTCTTTTACACAAATATGAAGCTCGTTCATTTGGGCGCATAGAACATGGAGTTAAGTCTTTTGCGTCTATTTGAACCGGCTTAAAAACGGAAGTGTCCTGCGACTTCATTATATTGACTTCTGAAATAACTTCAGAATTGAGACCAGAAATTTTCAAAATCTGTAGATATAATTATTTAATATTATTGAGAGTACATATAAAATGATACAAATATACAGATATCATATAAAATTTTTTAAATTTAAAGTAACCTCTTTTATTTCAATTAAACTTATAATTAATTCATCGTGATCCAACTCTCGTTGTTTTTCAAAATCAATTGCCATACTGAAATTTAAATGTTTCATCGCAGTATCAAATTCTTCAACCAATAAATAAAAAGGGACCTGAGGAAGAAATAATGAAGATGAGAAAACAGGCTTGGGAATGTTTTGAAGAGAATGCA